GCGTCCATGTGAGAACGGCTCAGCTAGAGAAGCATGCTTCCCCACCAAAGCTGCTCACTGAGCTCCCAGCTCCACCTCAGGAGCAGGCAGTCAGCTGACCATCATTAGTTTGCAATCCTGGACTTTGCACTATCGTCTACTCTAAGCTACCAGGCAGCTCTCCTGTCCAGAAGCCAAAGGGGGACACCAAAATCATCACACAGTGCACAGTCCCTATGGCCCTCTCCCCAGCCCTGACCTGCAACCTCACGTGACCCAGCCAGTTCAGCACTGCACCCCCAAGGAAGCTTCTTCCGCCCTCCCACCCAGCCCAGGTCTGCTCCCTCCAAGACGGACCCCCGCACCCCGCACAGTGCCTGAGGCTGCGCTGCATCCTGGACCAACCTCCATGTCAGAGACGCAACTGGAATTCACATTAGGACAGGACTTTTGCCAAACTTTGAGGGAGACTCACGTGTGTAGACGAAAAGCCAGACAGGGATTTCCTGGATGGCTTCCTGTGATGTCACAGTCCCAAAGACTACATTTCCCAGAAGTCTGTATGAACGAATTCCCAGAACCCAGGTATGGAGTTTTCTAGAGTTCCTGGATTTGACTGGCTGCCTGCAGTAGAGTATAGGAAGAAGCAGTAGAGTCAGCAGGACAGCCATATGGAGTGAGGCTGGTGTTCACTTCCAGATCCACAACACTAGATTATTATTGTGAATCGAGCCTTTGACAGAGATATTAGCCTTGTAAGTTTTCTTGTCCATATACTGTGATTTTAATATTACTACAGTGTTTAAAAATCACATTGACTCAGTTTTACTTTAAAAATAACCAAGCAATACACTAATGTAGGAATGAGAAGTATCTTTTAAAGATGTTTTCAAACCAGCTGTGGTATGTGACACCTTGCTCCTACCTCCTCAGCGGTTACTTGACAAATGGACCCAGAATGAAAGGCTGAACTGGGAAATTTAAAGAGACCCTGTATCTAAGTAAAAATGAAAAGTCCAAACAAAGATGGGTAAAAGCAGTTGAGTATAATGTCTGCTATGTCTTCACATGAAGTCCTACGAATAAATAAATAATCCTTCCTCTGTACCGACACTCTGTGTGAGCCATACATGGATTTGACCCCACAATTTGGAAAACAGTTTTGTGTGAACATTGGAATCCCTACAGTGTATTGGTGAGGGACACAGAGATGGTATAATCACTGAACAAAGTGAAATGTCCACCTCTCTGACACTTACTTGCAAAGATCTCCCATAATCCACCTCAGGAGTTTTCCACCTGTACTTCTTTCCCTTGAAAACTTTCAACTAGTAATCTCTGAAATCCATTTAGTTTTTGTGAGAGCTCTACTAGAATTTTACCAGTGTCTCCATGGTTTAACACAAATGCAGGTCCATATTCACCACCTGTGTGCTAGGAGCTCATGCTTACCTCCCTAGTGAAGGGACACTGGTCCTGGGTCATTCAATCAGGACTGAAGCACAGATAGTTTAAACTATCTAAACACAGTCTAGAGTTCCTTATACTTCTACCATGAGTATATGGTGCATTTCTAAATCCACTTAGCTATCATTTGCATGTTCCATGAATTGTGCCCCCACAGGGACTTTTAGGAGGGACACTGAACATCTGACCAGTTAATATGGTGAAATTTCTCTTAATACTGCTGCGAAGCACCATGTTGACCTACCTGTTGTCCCTTAGTGTCTACACATCTAGTACAATGTGGACAGTGATGTCATGTTCTGCTTCCATCTTGGTACAGTGTCCAGCCCCATAGCACAGTTTCCTTGTTCTTTGGGTGCTGACACTGAGAAACTTTTCTAGAAGTGTAGTTTTTTCATCAGCCCCTACAATGGGCCTTCACCTTTCAAATGTAATTGCACTTCCACAACACAGAGACTTCCATGGATGTGCTCTTGGCTCTGAGCACATTAATGTGCAGTCAGTACAAATTGCCAGGATTTCCCATATTGGAGTTAATCTCTCTGACATTTACAGCTAGCTGATTTCACATGGTCTATTACTGGGAGTGCAGACAGGATCACAGATAAGGGATTAGAATAGGAACACACACAAGTCAAAGCAGTAACATCAACAGTACTAAAAATCTGAGTGGACTCTGGGTAAGAACTCAGGAACATTGCCTGCCTTCAGCTCAGTGTGTGACTTGCAGGGAGCTGCACTGATGAGGAAGTCTTCTCTCCTACAGTCTACTGTTTATATAGCTATGAGCAGTGAGGGTTCTGTGAGCCTGGAAATATCCAGGAATTCCTCATACCTATCACATGCTTACTTCCTGAGTTTAATGAGACCCCCTCCAGGATGGGATATTTCCCTTGAGTGGAAATTGCTGTTGGTCATATCACAAACAAATTCATGAGTGAGGGAGCAATGAATGCTTCTCTTCAGCACTGTTTACTTTCAAGGGCCTACTCCCAAACTATGAAGGAACACGTGTTACGAGAGGGTCTTCTGGCCTCAATAATCTACAGTAGGAGAAGTTTCTCTCCTGGGTAATTCAAGATCTCATGAAGTGAACAATCCATGCATTCTGGATAACAGAATCAAGTGCAAGATGAGCAGACAGGAAGTAGGCTGCTTTCTTGTGGTCATTTCCTGTGGTGGAGGCAGGAAGGACTACCTGAGGTAGCAGTGGGAGCCTCCTGATCAGGAGCTGCAGTGTTGGCAAGCTTGGACCTTTCCCTCTGCACATTTTTACTTTTCTGAGACCTCTGGGTATCAAAAAGCCTAACCATCCAGGGAGGTGAGGCCCCAACTCGTAGGTGGCATGGGGATTGGGCCCCTCTTGTTTCCTGTACTAGAGTGTGTGTTACCTGTGTGGTTTCTCAAGTTAGAGAAACTACCGTTGGTCCTAATGCCCGCTCTTTCTGATACATCTCTGCTTCTTTCTGATAAAGCCTGCTTCCTGTAGCTAAGATAGGATATTCCCTCTGTCCCTGAGATTCCTTTGCCTTATACCTGTGATCTGCCTTTGTTTCTGCCCCAACAAGCCTGGCCACTCTTGGTTGTGTTTCACCTTTTCCATTGTAGAAAACAATTCTCTCTCATGTATGGGCAATATTACAATCCTATGAACATGTGCTGTCTTATCAAACTGAAAAGTTTCACTCTGAAGCTAGGATTTGGCATCCTGATGTCAGACCCAAGCATGTGTGTCTCTAAGGTCTAAATCTCCTGAACTGAGTCAGTCCCCTGACTCTGAGACAGGGGAAAAGGAGATCAACAAACAGCCAAGAAAAAGACATCGTGTGCCTCACAACACCTGACAGGAACCTATGTGGAATGGAGACTACTAATGTTCATCTCTTAGAATAAAGGCATTTGTAATAAAAGCAAGTGATACATAATGAGGATAGGAGGGACCCTCTGTCTAAAATCTCTCAGTAACAATTCCACCATCATAGGTTTATCAGGGCCCTCTCAGCAAAATTCTGTTAGATGCTGTAAACATATTTAATAACAATTCTGACAAATAACTCTACATGCTGAATAAACCGTAAAAGCTGTCTTATGTTTTCTATACAATTACCAGGAACCTTACATGTTAAGATGGTTAACAGTATGCACATAGGTAATACTAACTTATTACATTACCCTACATGTGTAATTTGCATCCAACCTTCTCTTACATAGGAAATTCATAGTGAAACAACTGCCATCTTCATTACTTCAGCTGTGTCCACTCACAATTATCACAGCTGGCCTTATTCCATATTAATATGTCTTCAGAAAAGAAAGATGGACAAGGTCATTGGACAATCTCTCATGTATCCAGTCATTTCTCCCAGCCTGGAATATGCAGTTGGCCTGTAAATGCATTAGGCCTCAAGGTTTGCTGTGGAAGCAAGGCTGTAAAGGGCACAAACATTAAGGAGTGCCCACCCACACATCCATAGGAGAGCATCCTTAATCCAGGAATCAAGTCCCATGGCCTCAGAAGTCAGTGCAGATGGGACTGGGGAGTCAAATCCTTAGTCACTCCGTGGACCCTATGAGCCAGCTGGAGGCAGATACTAAGCTTGAGATGCAGTGCAGTCTACTATCTACAGGCTGTGGTTAGAGCCACAGACCCAAAGTAGCCTCTGTGACCACCACAGCATAGATTATGGGTGCTGCAGTGACACCTGGAACCTCACAAGTCAGCACCTCACACCCATTATGACCTCACACCACTGGAACCAGTGCTCAAGTCTCTGCACTGTACCCACTGTTTCAGTCCTAGACTATGCTCAGGGAACCTCACACTTTAACACAGAGATATGTGTGCCCCATCGCTTCTCGGCCTTTTGGCTAAGATCAAGTGAGACATTTGTGCCCCGTGTTTATTGCTTCTTTACTCAAAACAATAAAGGACCTGAGTCAACATAGGTGTCCATGAACATATTCATATATATATACTTTATTGTAAATAAAGGCATATATATATATATATATATATATATATATATATATATATAT